TTTGTGCTTCAGTTTGAGATGCAGACAACCAAGGCTTATCCCCAATAGCCTGCACCTATGTTTAACAGTGAAAAGACACAGGGCAGAAAACATTCTGCAGAAAGCACAGCTTCAACTTCCCAATGATTCAGGTGACCTCGAGGACACAGACAAACCTCCAAGTGGCCTCAATAGCTCAGCTGTCTGCAAGGAACAGAAATTCTTCCTTTCCCCACTATCTAGTCAGAGCTGAAGAAGCTTCTTAGATGAGAAGTGAAACACTGTCCAGTTCAAAAGTCCAGTTGTCTGTTCAAAAAGCACCTTTGGGATACTCACCCTTATATTGGTGCCAACTACAGTATTAGTACCCTTACTTTCTAACCCTCATCCAAGTAATTTATAGTTATGTTGAATGACAGTTGACACTTCTTCCAGCTTGATGGGAAGCCATGCACAGTTGCTAAGTATGTCATTTTTTTTGTACTCAGAATTAAAAACATAATTAATTTTTAAAAATTGTTTGACAAATTTGTCCATGTAGTCCTGTGGTGTATGGTTCTTATTTATACAAGTCTTGCTGAAAATTATACAATTGTAGTCAGACAGAAGCCCTTTATCAGTAGAATAGCTGGCCAGAAACCCAGCTTTATATTATGTATGCATTATAGTAAACTAAAATGGCCAAAATTCAAATTAGTCACTTATTTACAGGAATTTTTTTTTAAAAAGTCTAAATAGTCAAACAACTGCATGAAGTTATAGAAACTGTAAGAAAGTATATGAGATTTGTTCTATTGATGGTTAAATAAGAGAAACAAAAGTTAGAACTTTTAAAATTACAAGAAAAAGATTAATTTTATCATTATGGTTGATTACTATAAGCTATTATTAATTCTAATGAGTATTAATAATTAATATATATTAATATTATGAAGGAAAACTACTGGTAGTGTAAGATTATACCTAGAGAAAATCATCACTATTATGATGCTGAGTATTGTTCAAACGAATTGTAATCAGACAACATACTATCTACATGGATATTGAATGTTGTTGTTGTTATTATTAGTATTAATATTAGTAATAATAATAATGAACTTATAGAAAGTATCTTTAAAGAGTTGCGTAAATAACTATCATTTGAATATGACATGTACCTATACCAAATTGTAGAAATATTTAATCTAAGCTTAGGAAGAGCTTCTCAACAATTTATACTCACTCTAAGTCCAGGAAATCCAGGAGGACCAACTCCACCAACATTTCCCTTTGAAAAAGTTAAATTATGCCATTGAAAATAAACATATGTCTTCATATATGATTCAAATAAACATAGAAACAATCCACTGCACATTTAATCTACACAAGAAAATTATAGAAGCAATGCTATATTTAAAAAAAAACCAAGACACTTCTAAATTCAGCATCTTATTTTCAAAAGAGTTGTACCCTGTTATCTACAAGTACATTATTTCCTTTTGTATTGTGTCTTGTCAGAAATGCAGTTTCCTTAAGTTCAAAGGGAACATTTGCTTTGCATGGCAGATCACACACTAGGCTAGGGACTAGATTTAGGAAGTAAAATTGGGGCCTCATACCTCTACAAGCCTTCAGCAATTTAAAAAAATGCAAAACAAACAAATAAACTGAAAAAAAAAACTACATTTATGTCCCCACTAATATCTGAAATTCTGAAGGTAGAAAAAGGTCACAAAATGGGTTACATTTTGTATCCTAAAGTTCTTTTTTATTAAGCACATGACATCAACAGGTTTTGATGTACAAATTAAGATCCTGGCCTAGAAGCTGAAAAACTGGCTGAATAACTTTGGACCAGCTGCTCTCTCACTTCTCCTTCTCTCTCTCTCTCTCTCTCTCTCTCTCTCTCTCTCTCTCTCTCTCTCTCTCTCTCTCCCTCCCTCCCTCCCTCCCTCCCTCCCTCCCTCCCCCTCTCCCTCTCCCTCTCCCTCTCTCTCCCTCCCTGTCTCTCTCTCTCTCTCAGACCTACCTACCTCATAGGATTATTGTGGGGAAAATTAAAGCGTTAAGTACGTTTGCCACTTGAGTTAAAGTAATAAAGACAGATAAAAATCTAATAAATAAATAAAGAATATCATTCTTACAGGGCTTCCGTCAGGACCAGGAGGGCCTCTGTTTCCAAAATCACCTGGCAATCCCTGGTTGAAACAGCAAAAGAGTATTGTAATACTAATAAAAATAATCTGGTAATAATTATATTCTTATTCTCTGGCATCTTTGAAAATGCAAATATTTTTTCAGGAGAATGTACTGGGTGTTTTTGGTTCAGCAGCTTCCCATAAAATCTGACATATGTGAATGGTCATGCAACACACTAACAGATCATTTGTATCATTCAACATAAAATGCTTTTTACCGCAACCGATTTGAAGTTCAGCTGTTGGTTGAGAGAGTGTGTCTTCGGTTTTGTGCTTCTTGCAGTAATCCTCGGAGTAATTACTCCGAGAAGCACAAAACTAAAGACACAAGCCTGAAGATGACGAATGAGATTTCGTCGAAACGTCGCCAAGATACTTCCAATTTTACGCGGGAGAAAACCCGAATAACCAAAGATCCATATAACCAGCCATTCATTTATGTATTTCAAAGCAGCTTCAGGATGAAACTTTTAATGTGCTTGATTCATTACATCAACTTAACTTAATGGATGAAGGGGTGTGATAACTCAGTGATTGAAGATGTTGAGCTTGTCAGCTGGAAAGCTGGCAGCCCAGGTTCGAGATACGAGGGCCATACAACAGGGTGAGCTCTATTCCTTGCCCCAGCTCCTGTCCATCAGTAGCAGTTCCAAAGCATGCAAATGTGAGTAGATAAATAGGTACCACTTTGATGGGAAGGTAACAGTGTTCTCAGTTAATATTCATTCACTCAGCGATCATTCAAAGTTACGATGGTACCGAACACGTGGCACTACAACAACTTGTCCTCAAAATTTTGGACAGCCTAGCACCTAAACAGTCACATAATCGTGATCCAGGTGTTTGGCAACTAGCTCACACTTATGACAGTTGCATCATCCCATGGTCACATGATCACCAAAATTCACCTATCTAAAGAAACACTGAAAACCCGAGAGAACTCATCCAACTTAGTTCTAAAGCTAGTAGGTTACAGTGACTCACAGGTTTCCTGCCACTCAAACAAACCAGGAGCAAGAACCTCAGGGTTATAGAAGTCTTATAGAATGTTAAGCGAATACAGTATAAGCATGTGCCTATCCTAGCAGAAAACCCAAAGTACAGGTTTACAACAGATAACGAAATAGGAGTAACTTTCAAGTATGAGGACACTACACAATCATGCTTTGAAATCCAGTAGCTTTTATATACAAGTTTTTATTAATCTAACAAGCTGACACTTTTACTGTAGAAAGAGGAAAGAGATAAAAGGGCATCCTTTCCTTGAATCTGCTCCTTAGCTAAAAGCCTTTGAATCACTGAAAAGACAACAGCAGAGCGGCGGAGAGAACAGGTCTCTATTGTTCATCACTGCTATCGGTTCTGCAGAACTGGGCCGAACTGGTAGAATTCCACCACTGGAGCAAGGGTTAAAATAGTACCAAAAATACCAAGTAATGCTGACCAGTTGTACTTCAAGGTTAGTGGTCTCTCTGGCTGGCTAACACTAATATATCAAGGCAACACTTTATCAAATTTAACTCATTTAAAAAGGCTAAGAAAACAATGTTCAGTTCCCCAAACAGCCACAATTAATTCCACATGTCCAAATGCTTACTATGTAACTTTACAAGCGCACACATATATTACACACTCGCACATAAATTACTATTAGTATATTTTGCAATTGTTCAAGAAAGTTAAACGCCACCAACTTTAATACTACTACCCAAGAAAGAAGCCTATTCACATTTTACTAGAAGTAACAATGCATTGTTTTTGTAATTACAGCAAAAGGTAAGCATTTTCTATCATACTAATTTTAGTTATAAAAAAGCCTTTACCCCATTGGCCTAATATGAAGTTTGCAAAATCTATGTATCATATATAATCCAGGTGGCTATAACTTTAACATATACTAAAATTTGCTAGTTGGTATATAATGTACATACTTATGGAAAAATACAAATTTGGAAGTATAAAATATCTTAGCATAACATTCATTCTGGCATTTGGATTATAATTTGGATTATAATTTCTTATTAATAAAACTAATCGATTGAAGTTTTTCCCCCTTCATTGGCATTATTAAAACAAATATTCCAAATTGCTTCCCAGAAGTTATCTATCTTTTTAAAAGAATTTTTATGGTTAATACCTGTGAAACTTACATACCTGCTTACATCTGCAAAAATGTAAGCAGTACAAATATAAGAAAGTTTTAAAAGAAAAATGATAGGGCATGTGGACATGTATTTTCTGTAATCACCAGGAAATTTGTAATTGAAATAAGAGTTTTGGACCCTCTTTAAAGGGCATCTATTCTTTAACTGAGAACTAAGTCTGTATCTAATTCTTCAATTAAGTAGCGTCTGTCTGAAACTGCCTCCCAAAGAAAAAGACACATACTATTGACCAATGTTGTTTCTGAAGTTTTTATAATCTAAAAGCACTGAGTTTTAGCACACTGAATTTCCTGAATTCACTATGGATCTGCCCATCTTCCCCAGTTATGCTCTATTTTCTTACGAATTGATTTACAATTCATGTAAGGAAAAAAATATAAATAGTAAATAAATTAATTTTATTAAAATTAAATTAAAATTAACCCCTTTAATGCAGAATATACAAAGAACATTTAAGGTGCAATAAGGAGACCAGATCCCTAGCTGCAAAAACCTGAACTCATAAATTGGCAGCATAGAGTTACAGCTTTCCGTGTTGCTTTGCTGCCATCTATGGTCATCCAGAATTTTGGAAATCTTATGCTGTAATCCTATAATTATATATCTGAAGGAAGCACTTCATTATATTTAGAAATAAGTCTAACCTGAATAAACTGAGCTGTCAATCAATACATGACACCATACAATGAAATAAATGTTTGCCACTTACTATTCTCCCCTTTATACCTCTTTTTCCAGGTAAACCTGGAATACCCTGAAAAAAATAACAAAATTTAAATTTTCAATAGAAGTTACAGGTTTATTTAGATATAGCTTGCTATTATTGTTCTTTCATGTTATATTGTTTGTGCTTATTCATCATTACTATTACCAAATGAGAGTTACACTGAATTTCTTTCACGAGTAGTAGTTTTGGTTGAGCAAAGATGCCTCAGCTTACTCACATTTGTTTTCATAAGTGTTGATCACTTTTTCATTTTGCCCATTTTGGACCACAAATGATATTCAGGGTTGTATTTTTAAAGCTCATTCTTAATTCTTATGATTTACCCACATTGCTGCTTAGTCAATAGTTAGTCCTACTGTGCAAAATAACTGAGGACACCAAAGATACCCTTAGAAATAAGATCACGAGTCATCCCATTTATAATAGATTAAACAATTATATGGACCATGATGATTTATTTAATTCGATTTAGACTTCAATAAGGATTATGACAGAGGGGTCTTCCAGGGAAGAGAAGTTTCTTCATATAAACTGGCCTAAATTGTTGAAAGAATTTAAAAGAATTGAAGTCTGAACTGGTCTGGAAACAGACTAGCAAGCGTGAGTGGCAACACAATGAAATTATAATATAATTATTACAGTCAGATCAAATAACAATCTATTTGCCCATTTTAGACAAGTTTTAAGACTATTTCCATGCACAATGCAATCATTCAACAGGGTTGAAATATAAATTTCCATAAAATATGAATCCTATAATAAAAAACTAAAAAATAGTGCTGATTCAGGATCTCAATGGTATATTTATTGTGGGTGGAACAATGTATTCTATATTCTATAAAACCTACTCTTTCTCCCTCAGGTCCAGGATTCCCAGCCACTCCCGGAGGTCCAATGAAACCCTTTGGAATTATAAATAAGAAAAACAAGAACATGAGAAACTTATTCCCCAACACATTATATTCAACTTTTAAGCTTACCAACACAACTAAAAAATAAACTTCATAATTTCTGCAGTCCCATTCTGGTTGTTTCCAGAATGTTTGGAAACTTATGACCTTAATGGAGCTTATCTGTCACAGTAGTAAGTTGTGATGGTCATAAAACAGGTCACCACATGACCAAACCAATTTTATGACCTTTTTGCAATGGTTAAGTAAACACCACAGTAAACCAACTGTTCACACTGAGCTCATTTTGCCAAAAAAATGGAAGTAAATGTCAGGTTTTGGGGTAAAAACATTGTAAAACATGGTGATGTGACTATGGGATGCTGCAAACAGCTATAAATATGGACCAACTGCTGAGCACATAAAATGCAGTCATGTGACTATGGAACAAGTTGTCATAACTTCAGAATTTGATCTAAAGTAATCTATAAGTCCAGGACTACCTGTCCTTCTGATTTTATTTGACTTCAGAGGCAGAGCCTGAATAGTGTCACCTAAGCATGCCCTTATTTATGTAGTCTTCTGATATAAAATAGTATATCAGGATTTAATATAAAACCACAGGCACAAAAAGGTTTCTATTCACATATGCACACATCCAAAAACTGAAGGATTAGCATGAACAGATTGAAGACGATGAGAATAAAAGCCGTATGTTAATGAAACTCATTTTATGAATAAGGATTAATCAGTGAGTAGAGAAAGAATAACTTTGCATGAAATACCTCTAGTCCTATGTTAAATTATGGTTGAGCAAACAAAGCCATGCATATAATGCTTACTTACTCTTACACCTTTAGGGCCTGGGTTACCTTCGGGTCCTGCTAAGCCCTAGCACAAGAAAACATGTCTTTTACATTATTTTCCAAACAAGAAAACAATATATTTAAAAGGTGTTAAATGTATTAATTTGCAATGTTGGTTAACATGCTTTTTGAAATCATGTCTGTAAAAGTCAATATTCAGTACATACAATATGGCCCTCAAAGGGCTTGTAAAAGATACATAATTCCTTTGGTATAGGTACTATTTCCTTTTTTGATATAGTCAAACATTCATGAGAATTGCAGTCTTACTTCAATAAAATAATAAACTTAAGCTTGGATGTGATTCCATATATTTCCCAATCAATATAATACCAATATACCCATCCCAAATCTTTTAAATTCTTGCTCCTTAAGAATGGCTAGCATAATGCTATTGAGTTATGGAATCAACTATGAAACAGTAAAGTTTTAATTCTGTATGTCCATGATAATAGTTTATTATTTAACTATTGCTACAGAAGCTAAAAACAAAGTTGAAACTAATCTGAGTATCTGGATGAGAACACTTTTTTTGCAATTGCCCATGTCATATTAATTGTATTTTATAAGGAATCCAGACAATTATATTTCCATTTTTGTTATAAAAACTTTCCCTTTTCTCTCTATAAAGATCAGTAAGGAGATTAATGCAACCCAAGGAGCTGTTCATCTTTAAGCATCATATGAATTTTTTTTATGCAGCTGGAAGCTAATTTCCTGACCTTTTTCTTACCTTTGAAAACATAGCTCTGATGGGCCCTAAGTATTCTTAAATTTGTGTTTTTGCAGAACCATAACAAAGAAATCACCCTAAAAGACAGCTGTTAATTCCTATGCATTTGTCTCTCTTCTTCTATTCATTGCACTTTTTTTTTAATTCATCACTATTATTACTGAAAAAGCAAAAATTATACCAGTGCTAATTCTTATTTCTTACATTGTTTTTTATAAATAGCTACCTATGTTAAATCAGTACTGATTTCTGATATACATGTATTAAAACATGATAGTTTTTTTTTTCAATTATACTATTGGGAATGTTTTCATTTTAAAACTAGAAGGTTTTTTTAGAATGAATTATTGATAAGTAAGAGCATGGTTTCCCTTCAACTGTATAGTTTTGGATAGTTTAGTTAATAGAAAAATGTATATTGCATAGTTTTTATATTCTGGACTGAAGTCTCTGTTTATGAAAAGTTTTATGACACTTCTATAGTTTATTAGAGAGAATGGTTCATTGTTTTATGAAAATTATAGCACTTGAGAACACGTTTTTAAAAACAGTGCTGATTCAGGATCTCAATGGTATATTTATTGTGGATGGAACAAGCCAAATTAAAGCAATGGATGCCTCAGACCAAGGACTCTAGAATTCTGACTTATGTTTCTTCTAAAAATTCAACCTGTTTGTTTCTTTGATCATTAGATATAATGTCAATATTTCTATTATAGGATTAATTCTAGAAGAACCTTACACTTTTTGATATGTGCAATAAGTATACTTTGGAAACAAACTACACACATTAAATAGCATACAACAAATTAAACTAGATAAGGATATCTTAATTTATTTTTTTCAATTATCTTTTCTGGTAATTTAGGCTTGAAGTATAGTTACTGCACCTGCCTGCCAGGGTAACCAAGAGCCCCAGGGTTGCCAGTCATTCCTAGAATTCCCTAAATTGAGAAGAAGAAAAATACACTTTAATCATCTATGTAAGTATGAAATATTCATTACAAATCCACTCTTCATTTAAGATTACATAAAATATATTCTGTATGCAGCATCATAACTCAAGTAAGCGGTGGAGAATGTAACTCAAAAGCAGTGAGGTAAAGAGCAGGGCCATTTTGTAGGGTCTTGAAAAATAGATAAACCTGGCTTTTTAGGAAATTTTTAGAGTATAGAAAAAAATAAAAGAAATTGTACATTTTCTTTAGACAAAAGAGTGAGATTTATAAAGCAGAGTGCACAAACTAATGCTAGGGCTGTATGACTGCTTAGATTGAAATGAAAGTATCAACAGGTTGATTATCTACAACTGAATGCCATCAACTCCAACTCTCATCAAATATCCTAATGAAATAATTCAAAAGCTGGGGTTAATGCCTGTTTTTAGTGACTCAAAAGTTTCTGAAGTGTTGGAGTTAATGACAGATTTGTGAATAGTGATATAGTTATAATTTCTCTACTTTCCTTTTTAACAGCAAGAGGTAGTCTGTTATTTATCACTTATTATTTTACATAAATTCTATTTTCTATTATTCTCAAAGAACAATTGGACAGTTTAGCAATTTGCAAATGTTTTTAAATGCAATGAATTAATGTGTGTTTTTGTGGTTGAAATCAACTAAAAATCTGTAACAGTTGAACATGCTGTCATTTTTTTTAAAATACTGTGAGAGACGTTGCCTTCTTCCGAATCATTGTCATAAATATCTAAGCAATTAGTAGTGATTCATCTCTCCTGCTCACTGCTTTTTGAAATGTCTTTGAATATTAGTAGCTCGAGTTGATATGTTGTTTGTTTGAGCTTCGAGCTTGGTGATATGGTTGCAAACGTTTCATCCCCATTCAAGGAGACATCTTCAATGCACTTTGGATTGTGATTGTCTGAGGAAGTACTGATCTTTAAATACCTTTCTGAGTCCTGGTCTGATTTCAGGTTGTGTGATTGGCTGGCTATTGTTATTGAGTAATAGTTCTTGGTTTTAAATACCATCTGTGTGATGCCTTCGGGATTGTGGTTGATGTTGTTCTTTTGTTCTAAGTGGTTGGTAGATTGGGTCACGTCAATGTATCTTACTTGAATTCAATACTTGAATACTTGTATTCAATACTTGAATATTGAATACTTGAATACAGCTCATCAATCTGGAACCCGCATTACGTATCTGATATTAACACAGTTGAGAAAGTCCAGAAATATTTCACAAGAAGAGTTCTCCACTCTTCTACTCTTGCAGAATACCTTATGCCACCAGACTTGAAATTCTAGACCTAGAAAACCTAGAACTACGCCACCTTTGGTCCAATCTAAGTATAGTATATAAAATCATACATTGTAATGTCCTTCCTGTCAATTAATACTTCAGCTTCAACCATAACAATACAAGAGCACACAATAGATACAAACTCAAGGTAAACCGCATCAAACTTGATTGCAGGAAATACGACTTTAGCAACAGAATGGTCAATGTCTGGAATATTCTACCTGACTTTGTGGTTTCTTCCCCAAACCCCAAAAACTTTAACCTTAGACTATCTACTATTGACCTCACCCCTTTCCTAAGAGGTCTGTAGGGGGCATGCATAAGCGCACCAACGTGCCTACCGTCCCTGTCCTCTTGTTTCTTTTTATTTTTCTTATATGTATACATTTCATGTATTCATAACTATGTTTATACTTATACCTGTTATCTTATAATTGCTTGACAAATAAACAAACAAACAAATAAATAAATCTATTAATTTATTGGTGGAAAATAAGGCTTCCAGGAGTTCCCTTACTCTCCTTGACTTTGCCTGGGTTACAACAGTTGTAAGTTTCATTTAGAACGAAAGAACATCAACCACGATCCCGAAGGCAGCATTTAAATACCAACGAACAGCCACGCTGTTATAAAATTAGAACTTGACAGATCCCAAGAAATCGGACTACATCACCTGCAGCTGATCAAATCAACCCTAAACCAGACAATGACATCTTCAGAAGACATCGGAACACAACACTAATTTTTATCACACAGACAATACTTAAAACCAAGGACAATGGCTCAGCAACTATAGCCAGTCAATCACACAATCTGAAATCAGGCCATGATTCAGAAAGGTATTTAAAGGCCAGTTCTCCCTCAGACAATCCCAATCCAAAGTGCACTCCTCGAATGGGGACAAAACATTTGCAACCAAATCGCCAAGCTCGGGGCTCATCATCAACATCACTGCTTTTTATTTTGATTAGCAATAGTTGTCTGATATGTGAGATTTTAATTGGTGTGCAGGATTAAACATTGGCCCATATTCACACAAAAGACGTTTGACAACCCACCAAGCAAGCATGAGGAGCTTATTAAATATTTGGGATTAATATACAGCATATCAAATCATGATTGCTTTACTTACTTGCTCCCCTTGTATCCCTCTTGGTCCTGGATATCCCATTAAACCCTGCAGGTATAAAAAACAACAACAAATGTTGCACTGAAGTCTAAAACACTCCCATATGTCCCCATATAAACAGAAGCAAGCACAATCCTTTTTTAAAAACTCTCCCAAGAGAATTTTGCCAAGTTTAGTTTTTAGACTTGGCAAAATTTCAGTACATGAAGTACACGTATCAGTATATATTACTGATATAGAGAGGGAGAAATCCTTATCTCAATATAATTACTTACTAAAATTTCTAATATGCCACCTGGCTGATATCGAACGTAGGTTTGTTTTATGTAACATAAATTTATATATTTATAATTATTCAAATTTGGATATAGATGAAGTAGTTTTTCAATCCCAAATCTTTTTCAGAGCATCTTGAGAAGCTAATTTGATTATAGCAGATACAATTCTCCACAGAGCTCTAAGAATTTAGCTAGAAAAAGATATTTGCTAGCATTTTTTTATATGATAAAAGAAATATTTTGTTCTTATGACAATAGAAGCATCTCAGTGAGATAGCTGATGTAAACCTGTTGGATAACTCACAATACTTTTGTTTTGCATGTGTGATCAAAAAGTTTTGGGAAACTTTCTAATCAAATATGCTATACATTATGGGAAATATACAATACACTGTGACGGGGAAAATCCCATAATATACAATATACTAACTGGTGAGAGCTAATGTAATGTAATGGTTAAGCGTTAAGGTGTTGGACCAGGAGTGAGGAAATACAAGTTCCCTCAGGAATGGAAGTTGGCTGGGTGACCACACAGTTCTAGCCTGGGAAGGAAGAAACAACCATCTATAACCCACATTGTGCAAACATAGATAAATGAAGTTTTCATTCTGGAGTAGATTGATTAGGACTGCTAATAATATGAATTCATATGCTCCCAAACATACATTTAAAAATTGTTTTCAAGTCTAAATTAAGAAAGGCATTGACCAGGAACAGATACAAAAAGCTGATAACATCAAAAGTATGAAACATAACATCACAATATGAGCTCCAACCCTTAGGTAATTGCAACAGAAATATAAAAAGGATACGCATTGGCACCACAAGATCACAACACACATTTAACCATTTTCCCAGCCACAGATGGCCATTATGAAATGATGCATGTGCACAGTTTGATCTGGAGGAGAGTATTTTGAAAGAATCCGAAAATATTCTATTACCACCTTTTGGATGTTTTTGGCAAAATGAATGTGATAATAGCTTGACAATTTAGTGGGAAATACTTACCTGTTTCTTAAAATTTGGTATCAATAAAACAAGGGAGGAATGAAGTAAGGGATTATTTGAAGAGCAAGTGCAAATCCTTCACATGTAAATTAGGTCTGAACATAAATATGCATTCTTGCGGTTCCTAAATTAATATCCTTCCACTTCATCCATCAGCACATTTCACTTCCTCTTAGTCTACATAAAGGAGAGCTAACTCCTTTTTGTGGTAGTTATTCAAAAGAGTTTTAAATCTAACAATGGAAGTACATGTTAGTGATAATTAGTCTGTAAAGGTAAAGAAACATTGCAGCTGACAGAGGTCCTTGTTTATCAGGCAGCTGCAGTACTTTTATGTGGCCTGCCCCGTTTTCTTGACCTTTTAAGAGAAATGTGTAGCTACAGCAGTAACTTCTGTCTGAGAATCCAGACAGTAGACTACAGCTACTAATTGATTATTTCAGACATGCATACAAATGAGAAAAAAAATTGACAAAGTGACCAGAACTCATTCTAGTAATTGAACTTGTATAACTATCATTTCATGCAGCTTCTTTGAAAAACACAGGTAATCCTTGACTTACAAACATTCATTTAGTTCAGAGTTACAGTGGCATTTTAAAAAGTGACTTAACAATGTCTCCCATATTTACGACCATAGTCAAGTCATGTGATCAAAATGTGGTTGCTTGGCAACTGGATGCATTTACAATGGTTGCGGTGTACAGGGGGTCATGTGTTCACCATTTGTAACTTTCCCAGCTGGTTTCTGACAAGCAAAGCCAATAGAGAAAGCTGGATTCCCTTAACGATTCTGCAATTCACTTAACAATTGCAGGGATTTGCTTAACAAACATGGGAAAAAAGGTCATAAAATCTGACACAACTGACTTAACAACTGTCTTGCTTAGCAATGGAAATTCTGTTCTCAATTATGGTTGTAAGTCAAGGACTAACTGTATTAGGCTGATTTGTAATTTTGGAACTATAATGCTCTTTTTGCCAATGGAGATTCTCAGTCAATCCAGGTCATGGTTGTTCCAAAAGTGCTTTTTCCGGAGGCAACTGGACTTCTCTTTTTTTTTCTTTGAAGATGTTTCACTTCAATCGAGGACCTGTATACTGCACGAGTCAAAAAGAGGGCTGTGAAAATATTTACAGACCCCTCACATCCCGGACATAAACTGTTTCAACTCCTTCCCTCAAAACGATGCTATAGAGCACTGCACACCAGAACAACTAGACACAAGAACAGTTTTTTTCCCAAAAGCTATCACTCTGCTAAACAAATAATTCCCTCAACACTGTTCAACTATTACAAAGTCTGCACTACTATTACTGTTAATCTTCTCGTCACTCCTTATCACCCATCCCCTCCCACTTGTAACTGTAGGACTGTAACTTTGTCGCTTGTATCCTTACAATCTATATTGACTGTTTCCTAGTATGATTTGATTGCTTATTGTATCCTATGACTATCATTAAGTGTTGTACCTATGATTCTTGACTCTTGACAAATGTATCTTTTCTTTTATGTACCCTGAGAGTATTTGCACCAAGACAAATTCCTTGTGTGTCCAACTACACTTGGCCAATAAAGAATTCTATTCTATTCTATTCTTCTCATACAAGAAACTTCTTCAGCTCTGACTCAATGGTGGGGAATGGATTTATATTTCCTGCACAGCTGATAATTTGCAACCTTTTAGTGAGTCACTGAGGCACTGTGCTGTCTGCAAGGCATATAAATCCTTCCATTCCCCACCATCCAGTCAGAGCTGAAGAAGCTTCTTTGATGAGAAGTGAAAAGTTTTCAAAGAAAAAACAAGAAAAACCCAGTTTCTCTCTGAAAAAGGACCTTTGGGATAATAAGGACCTTTTTTATTCTCACCTGGAATAAATTAAATAGTAATTGAATATAAAGCAGGCTTTCTAGATATTGCTTAAACCTCATTGTATTAACTCCATACATGGAAAGAAACTTTAGAATCTAAACATTTTAGAATACTCTTTTCTGAACAAAACATTGGATATAAATCCAATGAATACAATTTCACATTTGTCTGCAATGTGTAACAATTTTCAGATGAAGCATGCTGATGTGTCATGTTTTGTTTACAGCACTGGTGAATCCAATATTAATTCATTCTGATATATTATTCTTGTTCTGTTTAAAATATGTTCTAGAACACACAATAATATATTACATGCTTAAACCCATTGTTTGTCATAATTAGCAGCCTCTACAAATTTGTTTGAAATTTGATTGGCAATTCTTCAAATTAACTAGCTATCCTTTAAAAAAAACATGCTTGACATTTTGTACAAGTAAAATATCATTTGAATGTTATTCCCAATCATAAAAACACATATCCCTTCCACATATTCCCAGAAAGACATTTGCAATAGTTATATCACATTCAATTTTTTTCTTGATCAACTCTCCTGAGTGAGTGGCTGGGTAATTAACACAGAGGTCTTGCTATGGGATCAAAAGCTCCCTGGTACACATGTAGAAACCTCAACAGCTGCCTGAAGCCCAATTAAAATCTGAACTGAATTTACCTCTCTGAAATCCACTTTACTATACTAATACCTTTTTTCTGTCTCTCTTCTTATATACATATTGTTTAAAAGCAACAGAAAATATATACTATGCATGCTCCTATACAGAAGATACAAAGGTGGAGTAATCATTATGAATAAGCCAGACCATCCAGGGAAGTAAAAAACAGATTTGATGGGAATTGCAGATTTTGTGGGGCTTATTTGTAGAAAACAAACTCACTACCAAAGCTTACTCCCACTCTGCTTGGATATAAGCTGACAGCCAGCTTTATCCTAATCAAGTCCAAAGCACGTTCTGACAAGATTCCAGCTCAGCATTCAGAAACCTGATGGGTTTTGCTTTGACAAGATGGCTGTCAGCTTGTTCAGGCAGGATGGGAACAAGTTCTAACAGCAATCTTTCTTTTTTTAATGCACAAACAATATCTAATCCTTTGGTGCACAAAGCTGGATCACTGACACCTTGTTTCTACTCTGCCTGGATAAGCTGACATCAAAATAAGGATTAGTTGCTACTATAAAAAGCATGCAGTCATGAAAAATAAATTTGGAACAAAAAATGAGAATATCTTTCTCAAAAATAAAGTAGGAATGATACAAAACAAAAAAAGCTTATTCTTCTCATTTAAAATATGTTTTTTTAGATTGGATTGCTTTATTGGTTATTTTTTTTCAGTGAAAGGTTAACTTTATAAAGCTGTAAATTTCTATTATTGTTTTATTTGGTTTATAAATGAAAATGTAATGATTTATTTCTTGCTCAACCTTAATTATTCATGAGGGTGGCTTTGTTGTCAAACAATTTATTTATATTTTAGAGGGTTATGGCATCACAAAGTTTGAAATCTTGTTTTATAAAAAGCTGGTTTTTTAAAGCCAAAATCAAACAAATTACATTATGGCTTCACAAAATATTGGTCATGCAATAAACTTTAACATCACATACATTTTGTAATGCCTGCCTGTTTCAAATTCATTTGACTGCAGAAGGACAGAACTGAATGGATGAATTGAACCCATATTCAGGGATAAAATCTGATAAACAAACAAATAACCAAACAGTGCAATCTTATCCTAACCTCAGGCAGATAAATTTTGGTGTCAAACTATAATTTTTTAAATTTGTGATTATAGTATTTTACAAAAACATTTTGTAAAGGTTTGTGACTCAGTCTAAAATAACAATGTCGAGCTTAAGTAGTTAGTTCTGAA